CGATGAGAGGAAGTGATGGAGTGGAGTAAAAAAAATATTTTACATAATATTATTTTTGGATAATAATTTTTAAAAAAATTAATTTTAACTAATACTAATAATTTATTTAATTTTTGTCAAGGTTGAATGTATTGTCCATGTAGAGTGGGGTGTGATAATTTTTTAAAACGGAAAAGGGTCATAATTACCCCTGAACTATACGAAATAGACCACTTATATCCTTCGTTACATTTTGGGATAAAAAATTCCCCCGTTATTATCCCAGGAGACCAAAAATACCCTCAAGAGTTAACTATCTAAATTTTTAGTGATGTGGCACACCACATGGAACTAATTCCTCCACCTAAGCGTTGCCAACTAAGATTCACTACAAAAGAACTTGACCTTTAGCGGCGACAAAGTCGCCACAAAATCTCAAAATATTGAGACTAAAGGTTATGAGTGATTTTTAGTGGCAATTAAGGCTGCAACAACCATTCACTAGTAAAATCTATTTTTTCAACAAAATAATATGATAATTAATTTTCGGTTGCAACCTAATTTTCTAAAATAAATAACTTGCACTATTAACATTAAAAACATCCAATATTATTACGAAAATCATCAAAATTACATATCGATTCAAATCTCCTACTACATAATGCATCATTGTACATTTTATACATTTACATATGACATAAAAATAAAACATATAGTGTCTTCAAACTCCTCCTTAATCGATATCATTTTTGGTTTTTTTAAAATAATGAAGAAAAAAACATAATTAGAATTTAATGTTAAAAACCCTTTAGTGACGATATTTTGGGCTTTTGTGGCGACTGTTGTTGCCACTAAAGGTCTGGTTCTTTTGTAGTGAATCGTAGCTGGCAACGCTTAGGTGGAAGGATTAATCCCACATGACTTGCCATGTCACTAGAATTTGGGATGTTAACTCTTGAGGGTATTTGTGGTCTCTTAGGATAACAACAGGAGCATTTTTTATCCCAAAATGTAACGAAGGGTATAAGTGATATATTTTGCACAGTTTAGAGGTAATTTTAACTCTTTTCCATTTTTAAAATAAAAGACAAAGTGTATTACATACAGTGATTAGAGTGGTATAAAAGAGAGTCCATTTTCTTTAATTTGAAAATTAATACTAATACTTTTAGTGAGTAATGTTAGGGATTTTCAAAAATCACATTAGAAAAATTGTGTTTTGAGTTTGGGATGAAGCAAATTTGAACCATTTTAATTAAAATTTAAATTTCATCATTATTGGACCCACCTTAAAATAAAACAAAAAATACACATCATTATTGCACGGCGGAGTTGATTGATCAATGACAAGAAAAGGACTAGTCTTTTCCGTTTAATCAATTATTTAGTTGAAGTTTAGTCATAAATTTTGAATTAAATTTTAGAAATCGATCTTCACAAAAATTCTAAGTTTTAAATGTTAATTTGGCAAATTTTGGATTTTTTAAATTTTCATTGCAAAACTCTAAAAATATTTATTCAAATACAACTTTAAATTTTAAAAATTACTTTAAAATTTAAATATTTATATTTCAAATTCAAAATTATGATAAAACAGCAGTTTAAGTTATCACTTTTGAATTCAACTACTCTCTATTTCATAATAACGTTTTTCACTTTTCTAGAATGAGTAATTTAAATTTAATTAATTAAAAATAGTCTTAAGAATGGTTAAATTGATAGTAATTTTTTTTTATATATTTTGAAAAAACTTTGTTATGTATTTTGGCTTAACTTTTTTACGAATGGTTCTGCTGTTTCTTCGGGTTTTCTTAACAAATCAAAACTAAGTAAAATAATATAAATTTTTAAAAATTTATTGTATTGTTTTCATTGATGTCAATTTCTACTTTATTGATGTTTAACACCATCAAATTTAAATAAATTACAGTATCAACCTAAGTAATCACTATCACCCTTCTATGACAGTATTTTTAAGGCGGCCTATTTTTAATATCTCAATTTATGTGATACTTTTCACCTCATGATATTCAAACTTTTTCATTTTGACATTAAATTTTTAATTTTTTTCAAAATAAATTTCCACATTTGAAAATACTATACTATAAGTTATGATTTAAAATGTTTAACATATATATATATATAAAATTTAACTACACATCAACAAAAGTTTAATTAAATAAATTTAATTTATCGATCAAGTTAATTTTATAAATTTAAATTATATACCTTCTAATTATATAAATTTAATTTTATTGATCAACAAAAGTATATCAATATCAAATTTAATATATAAATCTCCTTGAATTGATCATTGGTATTTCTTTAATTGATAATGTATTTCATATCTGAACCACTAGTATATAAGACTTGATTTGTTAAACTACTCGAGGAATATATATATAATTAATCAATGTATTTCATACTCCGATGAAGTATCCTTTACATGTCATCATAATTAGGAGGTGATCACTACACTTGACATCCATTCAAGATCGAACGTATATAATAATACTATCTCGCATTTCATACTGGAATGGATTATATGTTAGCTCTTCACCTCTACTACATCATGACATGAGATATTAAGTTTATGATGAGGCGCGGACTGATAGGATTTGTACATTACTCTATAAATATAAGTATAATTATCTCCTAATTCATATCAACGTAGTTTCATACTCTAAATATGGATTATAGATATTTTTTTATTTATTTCACGAATTCTAACATTTTATTTGTAAAAGTATACAAAATTGTTACACTTTTTGAACAATTAATCGTAGGTGTAAAATGAAATTTTAATATTATGCACAATAGCAAAATTATGATTATTAATAGGAATATTTTAAACAAACCGACCTCCGGATGTCGCTTTTATTAAAAGTAATTAGATATAATAAAAAATACCGACCTCATGAGGTCGGTATCACATTAAATTTTAAGATAAATAAAAAGTAATCATAATAAAAAATACCGACCTTATGAGGTCGGTATCACATTAAATTTTAAGATAAATAAAAAGTAATCATGTTAATTAAATAATATTGACATCAGGAGATCAGTATTTCTATTAAATTATTTTTTAACTATATAAAAACCGTCATTCGGAGGACGATTTATTTAAAGTTAATTGAAAATATTAATTTATTACATACTATTTAATTTTACCGACATCTGGAAGTCGGTATTATAATTTTTTTTGTTTTTTATTTTACACAAAATCATTCTCCGGAAGACGATTTAAATAAAATTAAATCAAAATATTTTCTCAATTTTGTTTTTTATATGGAGAAAATGGGGAAAATCGCGTCTGCTAGTGCAGATATTTTTAAAAAATCAACAGACAACATCTCTATATCCGTTGCTTTTTAAAAAAAATGTTTGACCAACATTTTGACCAAAAAGCGACAGACTAAGAGACATTGTCCGTCGCTTTCTTAAAATATTTGACCAAGAA